GCGCTTGCGGGGAAGCGGTAATATTGTGCGCGGCGAGAGAAGGCGCGGGAAAAAAAACAGTAATTGTAATGTTTACACGCACAACGCTGCTATAAATATATATATATATATTATAATAGGCATATTATACACGGAAAAAAAAAAAAAAACACACAATACTCGAGTATCGTATAATACGTATTGTGTACAGGTAATAACTATTATAACGTAACGCGCGCGCGTGTGTGTGTGTGTCATAACGTATACTGTATAAACAAACGAATACACACGAATTCTAATATAATGTATAATAATACACACACACACACACGCACACACACATATATATATATATATATATATTGCGTATAGATATAATAACGTGTAATGGCTGTTGATTATAATAATACGCGCAGAGCTCAATAACCTTGACCGCCATTTTGTCCTCGTTAGTGACCCAGTGTGGTATTGTGTAGCGGCGCGAAGCTCGTGTTCATTGTTAACGCGCCGCCGCCGTGAAACGCGAAAACAAACACGCGCATCGGTCGCCCGTGTGTTCCGTTTTCGCGGTGGTGTTTTAATGCAGAAAGAAAACGAGAAAAAAAAAAAAAAAAACACCCGCGAGAAGGCCGGTTAAAAAAAAACCGCCGTCTTTACCTGTATAATATATATATATACAGGGCGATTCACTGGGCGTGCTCGGCTCTTTCTTTTGTTTTTTTGCGCGTTGAATTTCGCATACGTTCAAATTGTGATTTTCGGAATTTTCAAACGCGGGCTATTTTCGAATGCTTAGATTGTTCGCGACATCTAAGGAGTATACCGACTTCGGTTTTTCAAACGGGAACCTATATTGAAAAAATCCATAAATAATAGTATTAGGTACTCTAAATAAATGTCGGTGTTAAAATCGCTTGATTTCCTTCAACCCGTTGACGAGATATTTCACTTTTAAGTTTAGATAGGGGGAGAGTAACGGTGAAGCATTAATAAATCGCCGCGCGCCGTGCCGCCAAACAAATGATACTCTCCCCTTACCCAAACATAAAAATGAAATATATCGCCACAGGGTACTCTTTCAATGTTGTGAAAAATCTATGTATTCGAAAATATCGGCTTTAACTATGCACTTAAAAATTCCAAAACTCAGAACTTAAATATATATAAAAAATGTAACCGAAAAAATGGGGTGAGTACGTTTAGTGAATCGCCCTGTATGTTAATGATGTATTATCACTTATACGAGTTATAAGCTATAACGATGGCGACACGCCGGGCAAGGATAAGCAAATATGATTTTCGGTTTAAAAATGCATTAGATAAACTTTGGGGGGGGGGCAGGGGAGAGAAACACCGAACATAATATTATATTATATACTTGGGCGCCGCGGGTAAACCTCTTTAATATTATAGAATAATAATTATTATTGAACTGACCGAAAAAGTTTTTTCGAAGGAGGGAATGAAATTTTTATTTTCTGGCATTTCTTAATTTCGAAAAAAATGTGTCAAAATATGGAGTGGTTCAGACTATTAGAAAACTTCCCGAGAAAAAAAATACCTTTCGATAAAATTAATTTACTTTCTTCGGTAAACTCAAAATCTTTTGAAAAAAAAAGCGCATCGCAACCACTCGACAATATTTTTAACGTCTACTGAAGCGACAGAGCAGGTACAAATTAATCGAGTTTTTTACACAAATAACAAAAAATAACACTCTCGCACGTTATTACTGCAAATTTTATTATCAATTATTACATTTTGTGTCGAGTGCGATAACAATAAATTCGAAAAAAAAAAAACGTATGCCAGATTGCTATTGATGTTCTCGTTTTTTTTTCTATACTTAATATAGTTTTATAATACAATCGTCGTATAAACGTAAACCTTGACTGTGCTCTGCATAATCTTTAAAACGTACAAATGCTGCACCAGTCAGTGTATACACAACGTGTAAACATTTATCGAAAATGTTCATAAAATAAATTTGTATATTTATACAAGAATTTATATTAGAAAAACATTACTTTATAGCAATACTACACGTATTATAATTTTTAAAAAACAAGCGCGGAGCAGCAGAGCTCCGTCACTATAGAATCGAATTTCCTCCACCTGTTTTGTGTTATTTCAATATTCTTTGCAAAAAAATAACAGAGTACTATAATAGTACAATACTATACTGGAATTATATAGGAACTACAATAATTATAATATTTAAAAAAAAAAATGATGGGTCGATTTAAAGTTGAAACCTTCAAAAGACACGTTCTTAATACTTATAGTATGCATGTACAAAATTAAATCCCGCTAGCTTCATTTTTGGGGTCTAAAACTGTGTTTAAAGCTAAAACTCGTTCACCTCCCGCAACATTATAATGAAATTCAAGTCAACTTTTATCACTTCGATCCGCCTGCAAAACAACTCTAATTTCCGAGTTTCAGTTTATTTGGTACAGAGGGAGCTACTAAAAGTATCTAAAAGAATTGGAAAACGGATAACAGACATGATTCACAGTGCAATATAGTTCTGTTTTCGGAAAAATTTTACATCAAATATAATATACCTAATTTATATACATCTCCTATAACAGTAAATTAATTAGGTTATAAGTGGTTAAATTGGATGGGGGGGGGAGGAGGGCGCAGTCCTCCTTATTATACAAGTATCAATTCAATTTGTTTTATGTTTTCAAAGTCCGGGAGGACGTTTTAGTTATTTATCACTGAAGCACGTTGAAGTATCTAAATATTATTATTGAATTATAAATATGTCGAAATCAATGTTAATTTGATTAGACGGAAAAGAATATGAAGCGATAAGAAATTTATGATTCAAGTATAAACATTTTAATTTATTTTTACTGAACAGTAATTTGTGTAGGATAACTTTTTTGTGGAAGGGTTTATTTTTAAACCTTATAAACATAAACGCTTTATGAACAAATATATTTTGTTATGTGTAACATAAAACAATTTTGGAAGTTTGGTTGAATTTGGTTATAGTGCTTGGAAAATATTTTGTAAATAGGAGTCCCCCTCCCCCCTAAAAGGTTTTCCCACTTTAACCACCGTAATTATATAGTATTATACGTATAATACAAATGACATTATAATAAAAACGATACATTAACAAATTATTGTTCAAATTTGTATTTTTTAAAAGAGTACATGAAAAAGTACATGAAAAAACTAAACATAACTCAAAACGTCCAACGTTATTCTCGGTGGTGATGAGTCACGTAAAGTTAACAACGCAAGTATATATATTATAGGTGTACAGTATACATATATATTTAACATGTACATTGTATGTAATATGTCATTTTAATAAAAAAATGTATTGTATAAATAATATAGTAACTCGCGTAGTCATATATCATATATTTTTTTTAATTTTTAGGTACAAGTAACAAGTAACAACACAAAATGAACGAAAAGTATAAATATAACGTGATTTCATGAATTAGAAAAATTTATCAACGGAGCGTATCATAGATATATACAGTGCCGGCCCTAGGAGAAGGGGCAAGAGGTGTGGCTGCACCGGGCTCCGTGCTTATGCGAGGCACCGCAAATTTTGTGCTCCGAATATCACTTATCTATAAATAATCAATAATTTTGTTTCAATAGTAAGTGAATTTCGACCCATGTGCCGTGTGGTGTTTTCAAAACACGGGCTGTTATCATAGGAGCAACTAGAAGCCAAACACTGGGAGTGCTAAAATGATGTAGAGTACAAGAGCTCGTGGGGGTTAAGCCCCCACACTCCCAAGTACCACGTTTCAATTGTATAATTACTACTTCAACCGTTCTTAAATGCACAGTAACAAAGTAAGCACGCCAATATTTAAGTTAATATAAACAGTAATATATCTGATAAATACATTAGGAAAATCGGTACAAATATTATTAAAGAAAATATAAAATGCCTATTTAATTATTTTACCATAATATGATATATATTTTGTTGATAAAGTATCACTTTCGACTGAACTCCGTTTAGAATCGTTTTTTCGTTAGCAATGGTTTATCGTTGCTTACAGATATGCATTAATTTCCCGTCTATATCTTACCTTCTCTACTTCTTTACCTACAACAGTAACTGCACCTACATGTGAAGTATGTCCGTCTTTTTATTTTTTATGTATGTTTAAAGCTCAGATTTTTATGGAAATCGATCAATTGTATACGGATATTATTTGATATATTTACTTTACCTCGCTGAAAACACGTATCAATTGCAATATCAGTACCAAAATACGTCACAGTAACAGAAACTATAGGTATGCTTACTGATTAATACTATTTATTTATTTGAACGATAATAAATACAGCAAAACCACGCACTGGCTAATAATGTTAGCAATAATATTCATTTTGTTTATTGAACGCGTATTTAATCGAATAGTAGTAAATTATGTTTTTTAAATTTGTTTCGTTTATTGTCGTTTTAAAATTTTTGTTTTTCTAAATTATTTTATAATCATTCCTTTAAACTTTTTTAATAGTTTATTAAGTTTTCTTCATCCGTATAAAAGTAGTGTTTTTTTTTCTGTTTTTTCGTAAATATTTTTTTTTCCTTTATGGTTTTTCCCAGGTTTGTCTGCACACGAACTCTTCGAGCCAAGACTGCTGGTAGCTACGGATAACATTAAGGAACGAGGATCAGGATTCGGTGATCGTATTATATTATAGAATTTAATTTTATGGATTTAAGGTAAGTTATATATATATATATATAAATTTTAATAATAATAATCGGTATTCTTTGTATAAATCTTCGCTTTCTTGGCTCCAGCCCGGGATGTATTCTTTTCTGTATTCTCTGGGTATATGTTTTTTTAGCTATTCCAATCATAAGGCCAGTAAAACGATCGTAGTTTTTAACTTCTGGTCTTATCCATCCGATACAGTCGTCAAGTTGTTTGTTAAATCCATTCCAGTTGGCTTTATTAAAATTCCATCTGGGTCTCAGGAGTGATTTCACTATTGGAATCTCTATTTCAATGTTCAAAACTACAGGACGGTGTTGGCTATTGGGGAAAATCGTTGAGGACTTCTCTGCTAATTGGTATTGTGTGGCCTTTATGATCTTTTGTTGTGAAGCATAGGTCCGAATTGTAGTCTCGTTGCCATCTCCCATGATCTGAATGTACCTTTGTCTTTTGCATTAAATATAAGGGCTATGTTCTCTCGTTCTGTCCACTCGTTGAGAGTAACTCCATTAGGGTCATTATTGTCGTAGCCCCAAAATTGGTGATGGCTGTTAAAATCACCGGCAATTACGCCTGGGTGGGTTATGGGCGTGAGGTCGCTGTTAAGCCAGCTTTCGTTTGTTGGTTTGTAGACGTTTATGATGCTTAATTCACTAATTTTTATGTGGGCAGCTGTGACATTGTTGCGTTCATAGGTAGATACGTGTTCCCAATCAATTATGTCATTACGTATATATGTGGAGGTGCCATAACTTCTGTTGTATGTGGCGGCTGCTATAGAATATCCGGAAATGGATCCTCTTTGCCGGAGTTGGTCTGCGTCAGTGGTATGAGTTTCCTGTAGTAGTAGGACAGAGATATTGTTTTCCCGTGGAAATTTGGCAAGATACTCGCTTTTGTCCCGACTAATATCTTCTACTTTCAGTTGTAGGATTCTAAACTGAGGGCCTAGATCCCGGGTCAGTTGGGTCTGAAAAGAGCCGTTTTCGGTTGAGTGACAAGGGGTGTTGCTTCTATTGATGTTATTGATATTGAAATCGGTATTGGTATTGATATTGATAGTGTTGGGGGCCGGGAGATCCATAAGGACAGTTCGGCCGTTAAATTGATAGATCTTTAGCCGTTCAGGGAGACGAACGTTGCCCAGGGGGAACCACGAGGAGGCGATCTATCAACACCCCCCTAAGGTAAGTTTAGGTTAGTCTACACAGTGGATTAGGCCTACTCGGGGACACCACTATAAAAAAAACGCGCCTCGTGCAAGACCTCATACGCTTTTCGAATAACGTCAAATACTCATAATAATATTTCATTGGCGTTTGTCGATAGCCAAGGTGGTGCGGAAAATTGCACACAGGACGGAACTTATCCGTATCTTTATTATAATTATTCGATAAGATGCGATATTTTAGGCATTATTTTCTTTAATAATATTTGTTTAATATTTCACCGATTTTCCCGTTTTTCCTACGTTTATCTCGATTTTCCGATGTGTTTTCCCGGTATTCAAATTTGATGAGAGAACTCTTGATAAAATCGAAAAATGACCTCCTTATAGTACCTCCCAAGTCCGATTTCAATTGAAATTATACATTAATAATAAGTCAACGGACAATAAGTCCGTTAGAAAATAAAATAAATATTTATGGGGCCTCGAAAAATTCTGTACCAGGCCCCGAGATCTATCGGGCCGACACACGATATATGTGTTAAATTTCAGTGTTTCGCAGTCACTAAAACGTGCAATAGTACAAATTGTCTACTTTTTGTTCATGAATCGTTTATACCAACCAATACACCTTGGCGTTCGTCCTGTTCGGACGTGCGTGTCATCAATCAAATTGTATGTTCGGTGGGTGATTCGCAATAATTATATAATATAGTATAGTACAAAAGAGAGGGAAAACGATTGCATAAAAAAAACGTTCGGAAAATCAAAGCACGTCATGCGCCCCACACCTGATACATAATTTAATATTGAATACGCGGTGATAAGTGAAATAATACGATAATGAAAAAAAAAAAAACAAAAGAAACATAAGGCCGCGAATTATATTATTTTATTAATTGTCAATTAAAAATATTGAATTGACAATGGGGACGGGTGAAGCCCCTGTTGTAGGTGGGAATTTGGGAAGGTAGGATACATAAGGTTATTTTATTTTTATCCGTCAGCAATGGTTTGTCGTTGCTTACGGATAAAAAAAATCAAAATATCGGAAAAATGATTCCGAGCGCAGTTCGGCAATACGTAATATAATGTACCATAATTTCTTTTTTGCAATTTTCGTTTAAATTTGACTTTAAAACGCTTATTAAAAAAAAAAAATCAACAAAAATATGGTTTCTTGTCGAATATCCACCTCTGCATACGGTGGCGGCACCAGAGGCGGGCTAAGGTGGGCCCACCTTAAAAACTCTTGGGCCCACCTTGGCCTACCCCAAAGTTTAAATATAAATAAATCATAATCGGCTATTACAAATTATCTCATGTAATATGATTTATAAGAATATTCAAATATTGAGTCATGATGTAGGGCGTAAACAACATGTTTTGAATTGATTGAAAACCATAGTTTTTAACCTAACCTAACCAAAACTATAGTGCACAGTAAAATTCTGGCGCCACGCGCCGCCACTTCACGCGTAACATAATGCAGGGTCTTTCGAATTGCATACAAAAGTTTAGAGATTATATAGTATTATATTACGAATAAACCGCACGTTCCTTCTCTTAAAAATTCAAAAACTAACATTACACTGTATATTTATATTTATATATCATTTGAAAGGACCCCGTAAAATAGTTGATGCTGCCAACCGTATTGTATCGATTAATCAAAATTCGAAAATATTAATAATATATGCGTTTGCTCGGTATTCGAAATAATCACTGTTTTTGACGAGTTTTGACAGTGTAGCTGCAGGTATGTATTATAACTGTGCAGGTACATGTACTATAGGTGATTGACTCATAATATTATATCGGAGCTCGACTGCAGCAGCAGTTGTGTAGGGGGATGATATATAAGAACCGATATTTCTCGTTCCCTCCCTCGGATGGGTGTGACGGGGTATTTGACCCCGAGCCCGGATGTCGGAGTATATATTATATTATAAATACTCGTACGAGTGTGTGTGTGTGTGTGTGTGTGTGTGTGAGAGAGTATCTATATGTAAAACGAATAACATTACGCTCTATTGTGTGTGTTATACACACAGATATATACGAGTATTTTGAAATTAACTAAACATAACGTGTAGCTCGTGTTAGTATTGTTAAATGCGTACATACGCCGTGGATTACAAATCGATCACGTATTAGGTAAGTATAACATGCATACATAAATATAACGTTTATATTGTTCAAATAAACTCCATATACATCCCGTACATAAATATTATTGAGTTCAATAACGTTGTATTTTAACTGTTTTTTTTAGATTCTCAGCGAAACAATAAATGTATTGGTTTTACTATGATGTGTGCAGATTTTTTTTTCTGTACAATTTTTCTACCAGAAATTCTCTAATCAAAGCAAATGACAATCTACATTTTTCGTGTCATTTTAGACCTGGCGGGATAGGTTCATTAGGGAGGCCATTTCTCAGCCCCCCTTTTAACAAGCTAAATTTACGCCTATAACCTAGATAATATATAAAATAACATGTCCTGACTGATTCATCATTGCCTAGCCCAAAACCACGAAACTGATCGGGCTGGAATTTGGTATACAGATACATTATAATGACGTTGGCATCCGCTAACAGAAGATTTTTGAAAATTTAACACCTACAATGACAAAATAGGTGTTCTTAGGTACTTTTGCTGCGAATATCTAATTGTTTATTTATTTATTCATGAATTATCTCAATGATACGGATGAAATAACAAAACAATTTGGCTGAACAACGCCAAACAAGACAGCTAGCAGGACTGGAGGAATTTCGGTATTTCGGAACATTAATTAAATTTTATTTGTTGATTTATAGGTTACCTTGGTGGCATAGATGATAATTTGGTTGGCACGGATAAGAAAACTATTATTATCATTACTATTATTTACACTATTATCTAGCAATAGCAAAGCATTGTAGGATTAGTTAACATGTCCTGACTGATTCATCATTGCACAGTCCAAACTACTGAACAGATCCGGCCGAAAATCGGCATGCATTGATGTATTTTTGTTACGAATAAAAAATTGTTTATGTATCTATTTTTGTTTATTCATGGGTTACCTAGGTGATACGGATGAAATAACAAAATTAATTGGCCCAAAAAACGGTGGACGGGAAAGTTAGCATATTAAATACAAAAAATATAAAATATATATGTATATTGCGAGGTGTTAGTAAATCTTTAGTAATATATCGAGTTTTTCATGTTAATAGGTATTCAGGAAATTAAAAAAAAAAAATTAAGAAAAATACCCGATTTCTAAAATAAAAACAAAATTCCTAATATTATTAGGCAATAAATTCGTATTCGAATACTGTGACCTCTTGAACATTTCTAAAAAATTTCTAGAGTTATATATTCCTAAGTCGTATCATTTAGATAATAATATCGTAGTTGTTAGATATATACATGTAAGTTACAATAATGTTTTACGAGTCTTGCATATTTTTTAAGACATTTTAAATAATGTTCAAAAAAAAAATATATATAATATTTAACTCGATATTAACTATGACTGTGTAAAATTATTGCCCTTAAAGTGTTGATCTCGCGCATAATAATAATTATCGCCTCAAGGAATAACTATACATCGATAACGCCTCGAGGTTTTATTATTTTTAAGGTTATAATATTATATAGTTATAGAGGTATTCCGAAATCGTAATCCAGATAAACGACTCGGCGGTGGCGGCGGCGGCAGCGGCGGTCTCTGGCCAACCTTGGCAGCGACTTTAGAGTTCACGCGTGTTTTTTTAGACAACAAAGTACTTCAGACATGCACCTTGAGATGTGCAATCGAAATATTATGCGCCTCCTAAACACATATTTTTCCTCGATAAATGAAAATTGCGTCAGAATTTCTCAGATATGTATCGTGTGAAAAAAACGATTCCTATATTTTACAATAATAATAATAATAATAACAATAATTATTATTATTATTGTATTATGTACCTACTTGTTATAATTTTGTTTACTCCTTATATTGTTATATTGGCCAGCGGGCATGCAGTGACGCTGATGATGGCCATCATCGAATAAAATTGAAAAGATTGTACACTGCAGGCAACACAATTACTGTGTACCATATTAAGTGGGCGTGTCGTGACGACGAGCGAAGCACGTGGAAAAGAGAGTGAAAGGTTTGTGAGTGAAAAAAAAAAAAAAAATCCGACGATCCGAAAGTATCTACAATTATTTGTTTATATTATATACCTATATACTCGATAGATTCGGATTCCAAACGAAACCGCGCGTCGAGGGTTTTAATTATTTTATTGAAATCCTCTTGAATCCTCTCTCTCTCGAAAGTGCAACAGAAAGCGTTCTTTTTTTTTATGTAATATATAGTTTGGTGATCTTGAAAAAAATATTCATAATAACATAGTAAATTATACTAAACGGATTATATGTGTGTCTGCTTGTATTTTCAAACAGTTTTCGTTTTCGTTAAACCGTCGTCCAACGACGCAAAAATACCCGAACTAATTGTTATATAGTTGTAAAATTGTGTTTTTTTTTTTTTATTTTTTATTATTATTATTTCGCGAAAATTAATTCGTATACAAATACTGCGGCGCTAATAAATCGTTCGGGAGAGTCGTTAACAGATCGTTGTTTTTTTTTTTTTTACGATTTGTAAAAATGTCTTCAACGTCGAATTGACACTTATATAGGTACTCGATTGTGATATGTGTTAATAAATTACATTTTAAGCATTATTCGCCGTATATTGTGATTATGGTTAGATTTATAATAGATATAAGGTTTATGTATTTATACACAGTTTAAGTATTTATAATTAATTGAATTATCTACGTAAACGTTTCAAGTTTTATGTGCACTAAATGATCGCGACGAGTACCAATAACGCTTAAAATTGAATTTAAAAAAAAAAAATATTGCAATCTATTTAATTCTAATTGA